TGCGTCAATCTCCCCATTCATATACATATATTTTAGCATGTCACTTAAGATCTCATTGATCTTCATAGTTAGGTCCTTGTTTAGCATACGATATGTGGTCCTGTCTTGTAGAATATCTTCCATCTCTCGGTATAGTGTTTTTTGTCCATTATCACTGTAGCTCCTGCTTTGTTAACCGACTAATTGTCTATTGTTAAGAAATAGCGCTAGGAGTGAAATGCACACAGGGACTGGACCCGAGTGAAATCGGTCAACCAGAAAGATAAGAAACGGATCTACAAGACAATGAAAGGATCCGGATTGGAGTCCCGAGTGGGATAAGCCCATCGAAAGAGAGGGGTCGGGGTAAATAGCAAATATGATGAGGCCACACTCGGTTTGCCACAAAAGCACACACATTTTGATGATTGGAATGTAAACAAGTGAGAAGCTGTGATGGATAGGAGGGTAGAGAGTAGATAGATAGACAATAACAGAAAGAGGAGCGATAGTGTAACCGTTTTCGGCACAACGGTTGTCGAGGGATTGACTTCAATTGTCTCTTTGACGAGTTCGTAGCTTTGCGCGGAGAATGGCAGCACTCACTGATGATGCCCACTACGGTGCCTGCGAAACGTTTGAGAATGTATCAAGTCCACTGTCAGATGCTGGGAATCATGACAAATATTATGGCAGACGACTTCGGACTAGGTGCGTTCTAGATAGTCTCCCTGAAAACAAGACCAAGTTGCGACAACGAGGTCAACTAACTTCTATAAATCGAAAGAAGACTGCGACCTAATCAGAGGCCACAACATCTTGGTCTTCATATCTCAAAATCACTGTCTGAAATCTGGCTGCCTAAAAGCCTCCGATCACGCCATATTCGAGGATATAAAGCAGATGGTGCCCATGTCCATGTCAATGCCTGGAAAGCATTCCCTCCCTATGTTTCAAGTCCATGACTAGATTATCTTCTTTCCTATCCCCACCCACATTGTATCTCATTCCTTGGAGCCCTGTTTCCGGCTTAATTCTTAACCGATGATGTGAAAATGCACCGCTTTTATTATTTCCCTTTAGAATCGCGAAAAGCATACTCCTCTCGCCTTCCGAGTTGACACTCCCATCTAATCCCAGAGGAATAGGATATTCATGTGTTGGCTGGTATACCCCGTGGTCAAGCATGTCACTCGTCACCTTCCATTAAGGCACACACGAAAAATGCACACAAGTACACGCGCACACACACGCACTGGTGGCCTATATCTAGCCTTTAATTTTTTTAATTTTACATCCCACCGGTAGACCCCCTCGGTAAATTTCCAGACTGATCTCAGGTTTGATTCTTCTTACTGCAATCGCCTTTGATTTACTTCCATTTGTTCCTCGTGATCCGATCCTTGGCGATGTCGATTCCTGTTGTTGAATAGTTGTCCTGGGTCCAGACGTCTTCTTTTCTTTGCCTTCGCCGAATGTACAAGTCTGTCTAGACAGTAGGCGAAATTATCGCCAATTCTATCCTTTTCCAAGCTCCTGTTCATCAGCTTTCTTTGAATAAGGATGTCCACATCCTCCCTGATCTTCCGATTTCTCCTCACATAAAGCCAGTCTTTGCGTTGCATTCCAGTTAATTGTGTGGCCGGTAATGGCGATATGTTCAGCTATCTCTAATCTTTCCGTATCAATTTTTCTGCATAGTCGTTGGTGTTATTTGATCCTTGTGCTAATTGTCCTTCCCGTCTCTCCGATGTATTTTTGTTTACAGTCTTTGCAGTTTATGTTGTAATCTCTGAAGTACTCCATTTTGTCGACTTCTTGATGTTTGGTACGCAAGCTGGTGAAAAGGGTTGTTATTTCCTTAAGGATTGTGCGAATGTTTCATTTTAATAATATCGGCCGCAGCCTCTGAGCCAATTCGCAGGAGGGTAGACATGTCCATTGCTTTCCCTCTGATTGCCTTGTTTTCCCTTCATAATCCCCATACTTCCATTTGCTCATCACGATTCGTATGTTGCGTTGTATCGGTTCTTTTGGATATCCGTTTCGAAGAAAAATCTAAGTTAGTTTTCCCAGCCTCCCTTCCCACAAGTAAGAATCAGTGAGTCGCAGGCTTTTTATGACCATATTCTTGAGTATTCCAATCTTCATTCCATAAGTATGAGTAGACTGGAAGTTAAGAGAAGTTGTTCATAGTAATGACCGTTGAATACGAAATAGATAAAACTCATTGCTAGGTAGATTAATGAGGTTAGAGACTCTTTACAGATTCGCTTCGTCTCCAGGACGTCATCTTCTATTTCGAAGATCTCAGGTAGTGCCGTGAGTCCTTTTTCTGTGATGCTAGCATACATGAACTGTATATAAAAACAGACTGGTGCCTTTAATTCTTTGGCAAAATTCCTCAGTTTTTAACTCTATTTGACAGTGTTCGACAGGTGGTCAGACCTTGGGATGACTATAGATTTCATATTTATTCAGCCTTTTTTGATTAAGTCAGATATCTTTTACTACATTTGTCTGTAATTTCAAAAAATCGTCGGGGTGAGAATCTGACTCAAATCATGACTAAGTCTAGAATTAATATTTAAAAGCTTAAATATTTCCCCCCTCTCCCTATTATATGTCTCCTCTACGTTTTTCAAGGAAGCTAGATATAATATATCATAGACTTAATCGGAACATTTTCTCATCACATTGCAAAAACTAGAATGGATTCCATAACGTCTACGACAGTTAAGAAAGGTCAAATTATTATCACCCCCAAGGATTTCCTGGAACTACAGAAGATTACAGACAAAATGTCAGAAAGGATATCAGACTTAATTAAAAAAAAGGCACCAGAATAATCAGAATAAATATGGGATCAATAAGCAGCCCAAGGCCAAATCACCTGGCAAAAGGTCAGATCATCTTGTTCTTCATATCTTTTATTTAACATTTTATTTTCAATTTGTTGTAAAATTTGACTAAAAGTCCTTAATCACCTTAAACGAAATAGGGTGAATACAGCTCTTATATAACCGTTTATGTTCAAAAGAACTAGTGTTAAAAAGCTATCGTCATTGAAAATGGCATAAAGTGAGCTATGCAGTTGTGTAAGGTGATCTTTACCTGCAGCTCAACGTCGTACATGGCGAGCATGAGTCGCTGTCCTGGACATGCTTGAAAGGCCATGGTGCAAGCTCGTGTCATCGCTGGTGTCAGGAGGCCACAGGGAGTTATATCATCAAGCCAATTTGCATTCGGCCTGCGGGACCAGTAGAGAACTTCAGGGATAACTATCTCAGGCCCGGATTCACCAGGTCGAGGAACTTTCTTCATAGAAAGACGACAAAAGAAAAAAACATGAAAATTTAGTGGAAAAAAAAGAAAATGATAAATGGAGGCGTGTTGAAAGATTTTGCTACTTTTCAAACCAACATCCAGATCTCAACATAAAGAAAAAATCAAATTAAGTAAGCAAAGAAATTAAACTGC